AGAAAACTTCAGGTTTCCTTTTTCTACGAGAACTAACTTCACCTGGGGAGTGAATGCGAAAAATTAAACATTAGAAAATAGTAGGGAATTTGTTAGATAAGCTTCGAAACTCGTACATGAATGAAACGGTCATCTAGAAATTTTTAGCCCTCCTCAAGCTTTAGAAAATTCTGGGCAATTTTTGCTTCTCCGAACAGATATTTTATAGAAAACAGTCGTTGGGTGCCCCTGCTGTGATTTGACTTATCCCACTTGTACAACGGGTTGAACTCATCATATAAGTATTGTGAACTTTCATGTGAGTTGATCTGAAGTGCATTTTGTTATGGCTCAGCAAACGGCAAGGAGACTGTTCATTCTGTCCTGAGCACTTTTACACAATGGAGGATTCTCCAAAGCACGCTCATAACAGTTCATTGCATTCTCGTTATCTCCCTCCATTTCAAAACATGCCCCAAGGAATGTAAAAGCTACTGAGTAAAATGGTGGCAGAATGAGAAACTTGCTTTTGATGGCCCCATCAAGCTTAGAAATGGCTCTCTGTCTCTTCTCAACATTTTGTAGTTTGTTGTAGCATAGATACTGCATGCTATGTAAGAGCACAACAGCAGGGACAGTGCACAGGGGTCTGTACTTGACTTCAAGAAGAAATTCTTCTGGAATGAGTGAGGAATTTTCCAGCATAATGATAAGACAAACTGTGGCCTGTTTCAATTTGTCCACTAAAGTTAAGCCTTTGCCACACATGGAGTCAAGGTAAAAATCATACTCCTCTTTCGAGTAGACCTCCTTTCGTAACTGAATCAAATTTGCAGTCAGTTTTTCCTCAGCTTCATTTAAGACCTGCAATGCCTGGTGGTAGTCCCCTACATTGTAATAAAGGCAAGAAAGTAAAACAGATCCACTTATGGCATCGGATTCACCTCCAATCGAAATATGTTCACAATGCTTTTCCAGTAACTGAGGTCTTTCACCCCCAGAGCCCTCCGTCATATCTGGCAGCGGAAGCATTTGGGCAATCTCTTGGTGTACGGAAGACCGCAGTTTATTGATGACACCCAGAATAAACCCATCAGTTTCCGTTCTGTACAAATTATCTAGATCTCTTGCCGCTGAATATGCCAGTTCGATATCATCAAATGGATAAATGTGCAAAACTCTGAAACAGAGAAAATCCAAATTCGCTTCTCTTTGAGAATGCGTGACAAACTCTGACTGAACAAGAAATGAATCGCAGTGTAGAAGTGCCAAGTAGCCCTCAGATTTGTACTTTTTCAACAATGACAAAAGGGCATTGTTGTTGTCTTCACATATTCTGCCTCTGAACATGTTATTTTCAGGTATAAAATAATTAGGACAGTTGCAATTCGTAACCCAAAAGATCATTCTTTCAAGGCACAGCTCGTAACAGCCAAGAACATTCTTTACATTCCAAACTTGTTCATCGTTGTTTGTCTCATCGATCAGCCAAAACAGACAAGTTTTTAGGAAGTACGAGCAAAGCAAATCCTTGACAGAGTTGTTTTTCTCCAATCCTTCCTTCAGCATTATTTTCAACAATGCATAGCACAGAATTTGGGCATGATTCATTCTTAAAATAATGCTGCTTTCGGCGACAGCAAACGATATTCTCCACAGTATACTCTGTTTCTGAGAATTCCTTGGTCCAACAGGAACCATAAGACAGCCATCAGCCAATATATCACCCAGAAAGTCTTCCTGTAGCCACTTTGACTGCCGATTTTCAAACCTCTTGATAACAAACTCTGGCAAAAAGGGACAGTGGATGCAATCAGCGATGTCACGTTCACCGTCCATAACGCAAGGACCATGGCTTTCATAACCAATTTCTCTGAACTGCTCTCTGAACTGCCAAGACGATAATACAGTCGCCTTCTGCACATAGCCGCTGACTGATGCATCGAGCAATGGGCAAATCGTGGCAAATCCTGGGAAGTCCTGGTCAAAATCAACCAGAACAACTGTTTCGCCGTTTTTTGGTACAAAGGCAACATCAGAAGGCACTGCTGTGACGTATTTAAGAACAAGGGTAATATCTTCATCACTGCTCCTGATGTCCAGCCCTTCAGCAAGGCTTCCACTTGAGATAGACACCGAATCTATATCACCATAACCATTAACTAGATTCATTATATGAAACATCCTCTGCCTGCGCTTGATATCTTCGAATGTACCAACAACCTGAATGAGCTTTTCAATCATTTCGCTTGGAGATATGACATTGCTCTGGTTCTCTGTATGTGGATTGTCAATTTTCACCAAACTGTTTTTCTTATCATCAGGTTCCATCTGGAATGTTATAAAGTAAAATTTGTTTACAATTGAGAATAACTTTAAATGAGAGATAAGAGAAAATCCAGTCTTTATTTAGATTAAAGGGGGTGGCACTAGCAAAATACTATTAGGAGTCACCAAAATTTTAAAGTACGAATCAAAGAGGGCATCATTTTATGTTTTGTATTTTTCTGTATCCTAGATTATATTGCTAGTCGAAGGGTTTTATGGGAATAATGTGCTGCTCCTTCCCAAAATTCTCCTTTGATAATAGTGCAGTAAGGAAAATGAAACATATGGCACACCAAAACTTTTGTACATATAACACTAGAAAATGGGGTCAAGACTCCCATTTAAAATTTTGCCTTAAAGGATACTTTTTTGAAGAGCAAGATTAATCATCTAAAACGTGAATCACTGAGTTTACTGCTTCAAACACTGAAATCCATGAAACCGACAACAGCATGATGTCTAGTTTAATAGGGAGCTTAGGCTGCGTGCTAACGGACGCAACAACTCCCAACATTGTTGCGCCAACAATGTTGGGAGTTGTTGCGTGTGTGTTGGCAGTGGTGTGTAAACGGATGCAACAACTCCCAACAATGTTGGGACCTGCAGTGCATCGTGGGAAGGATACAACCCATAAGTCTTTGTGAACCATGCGTAATGAGCGTGCGTGGCCCCAACAACGTTGGAAGAGCTGTGCAAACGGATCCAACATTGTTGCGCCACGCTTTGGCGATCACAGAACAAAAGAAATGTTGGGAGTTGTTGGCTGAAAAGTTTGACCGGTTCCAAACTTTGCGCAACAACACACAACAACATCCAGCAACATGCAACAGGGTGTGCAAATGGACGCAACTTGTAACATCCCACAATGTTGGGAGTTGTTGGCCAACAACGTTGCGTCCGTTTGCACGGGGCTTTAGGCAACGACGACGGCTAAGAAAACGTCACTTAAAAAGTGAAGTCGCGCTGCCTATAAATTTACCGCGCTTATTCCATCTCGTTTAATTCGTCAAATGTTGGCAAATTTCTTTGGAGTTGAATTCTGAAGGATTTTATCAAA